TCCGACTCACATTTTGTACACATTTCTACACTTACATTCGTGTTACATGCCCTGCTCATCATCCTCCATAATTAGGAATTTAGGTTTTCACGGCGTTGAGTCCGAAGATGGCGGCCGTCTTCTGGGTTGTAGCGCCGTGTAGTCTGGCAAAAGTTTAGCGACGTTTCAGAGGTTCTTGCTGCCTCCATCGCCAACCATTTTTGTACAGATTATGAAGCTCATCATTGTGAAATTATCTGCAGTTCCTGTTACCTCGAATGGCAGAAGATTATTTACGGTTGTTTGGTTTTCGAAAACAAATTGAAATTTCATGAGTTGGGGGGGAGGGGGTGTAGAATTTTTTGTTGAGGAACGACACTCGCGAACCCGCCATAACCTTCAGCCTTGTGGGCCCCCCCCCCGGGGGGGGGGGTTCTGAAGAACGAGACAGAGGAGGACAAGTGGGCAGGGCATGGGTTTGCAGTGGAACAACATGCGGGCGAGGGACGGCAGGTGGCCATCACGTCGGTAGGCCCAGGTCTCAAATATCCGGCCGCATTCTTAAGACCTCTCGTGCGCCTTAGACGAAGTCCTCAAAATCGGCCTCGCTTACAAGTGTTTACGAACCAGAAACATTTAGGGAGAGTTTGCTAACACGCAGATCAGAATCCTTTGTCTTCCCGTAGTTCAAAACACACAAAACTTATTTTAGATCTTTGACGCTAAGGTAAAATTAAAGCCATCCCGCTACACGCCATGTAGGCGCTTGGGGGGGGGGAGGTGGTACGTGACTTCTAGTGTACACACAGACCTCGAGAGTGTGTGGGAAATATTTTCAGACGAGGGCAGTGAAATTATTAATCAGTCATATTCAGAACACACGTGTGTTGAACTTTCTCCTGAAGAAGGTACCTTCAGATGCCGCGCTATCTCCGCGATTTAGAATTATACAAGTTACTGATCTGTCTTCGAGTGTTACTTGTAGCCAGCGTCCTATTCCACTCATTTTTCTTTTATTATTTCCGAAACGCAAAAAAGAGTCCCTGTTACCTACAACATAGCGTAAAAAACTTGAAATGCAGGAGGCTTCTGAAATTCCCGTGGGGATTACGGTAAGAGCAATTGTGGAATGTTGTGATGTGAATAATTGGACGTGGTCCTTGTGTCCACGTAGCCATGACCAGGCGACGTAACCGGCCATAAAGTCTGAACATCGCCTACGTGTCGGCAATGAATGCCCCTTGTATTCAGGACACACGCGCTTTGGCCGGCCGCCGGTGACTGTGCTAGCAGCTGTCATCCACAGCCTTCGGTCACCCCGGCCAAAACACTGGACCTGAACTGCTCCTTCAGCGTGCTGGTCCATTACGTGCGATGCTGCTCACGCACAGAACTGGAATCACTGTCAAAACACTTCTGCAGCAAGCGAGACTCATCCCTCCTTCAGACGCCCTCATCCTAACAAGAAATTCACTGCCGTTTATGACACCCCGTGTTGACGAGACCTCGCCTCTGGACCCTAACCTGAGCCAGCTAAATCCAATCCACACACTACGTCTTTAAACTCCTAAGAGGCGTCTTCCTCCCTTGAGGTTTTCCTACTAGAAATCTTGTATGCATTTCTTGTGTGTTCTGCCAATATCATATTCCTGATTCGATCTACCTTGTCTGCTGAACAAAACAAATAAGAACGTTTCTCTACCCTCCACTTCATCTCCACGCGGTCCACATATTTTCTTAAGCACTCTGTTCTTCCCACGTGCGTTTCCATGATTTGGGGGAAACAAAGATTCTTTCTCAGGCCTTCCTTTTTTATGGCACAGTAAAAAAACTGACAGACATATCGTTCAAGTCAATAATAGGTTTGTAGTAATTTCGGTAAACCGTGAGCCAG